GGGCCTCACGCCGCTGGTCGATGATGTTTAGTGTCCTCTCTGATATCCAGGGCTTTCTCGGGAAGGATCGTGAGCGTCCGAGGACATTGTGAGCAGACTGGAGGACACTTTCCTTGAAGGCCACCCAGTCTGTCAGTTTGTCAGGGGCCAGGGCATCGAGAGTGCGGCGGATGGAGCAACTGAAGTCTGTGGCGATGTTGGGGTCGCTGAGTCGGGAGGAGTCGGGGCGAGGCAGAGTCTTGTGCTGGATGGCTCGGAGCTTTAGCTTAAGCTGGGCCACCAGCAGACGATGGTCTGTGTTGCCAAGCTGTGCTCCTCTGAACACCCGGCAGTTGGTGACAAACGACTTCCAGCGTCGTGAGATGAGGATGTGGTCCAACGCCTTCCTTGTTCTGCCATCTGGGCTGTACCACGTCCAGTGATGGACGCGTTTCCGGGGAAACCAGGTGTCAGCAACACAGAGGTTGTTTTGGTGGCAGAGGAGGAGGAGGCGGTTGCCATTGTCGTTTGTTGTACTGTCAACAAAGGTGGTGCCGACAGGTGAGCCAGGGGACCGATCACTGCTGGATAGAGTGGCGTTGGCGTCAGTGAGGATGATGGTGATGTCGTGTGGTGGGGCTTGGTCGACAGCCTGGTGGAGTTGGTCGTAGAACGCGTCCTTCGCTTCCTCATCAGCGACGTCAGTGGGGGCGTAGGCGACTATAACAGTCATCTTGCCGTGATGGTGGAGGAAGCGTGCAGACAGTAGTCTGTCGCTTATGGGCGTCCAGCTGATGAGGGACCTCCGGAGGGCTTTTGGAATGGCAAGAGCCACACCGTAAAGGCCGGTCCGACTCTCGGGGCCACTCCAGATGTAGCAATGGTTGCCTGCTGTTGTTTCGCCATTGCCTTGCCATCGCACTTCACAGAGCCCTGCCAGGCTGATGTTATAACGACAGAGCTCTCGGGACAGCAGGGTGGCAGCTCCGGGGCGAAGGAGTGTCTGGACATTCCAGGTGGCGACACGGGTCTTTCGACGAAGGTCGATCCGTACTCGTTGGTCGGGGGCAGGCTGGGGTCCGTTACCGTGTTGGTCAGTCCGGCTTCTTTCTCTGGTCAGTTTCGTAACAAAGGGGGTTTCTCCTGGGTGGGTTGTTAGCCCTCCGCAGGATAGTCGGTTGGCGGGGCTGCCGCCTCACAGCGTACCAACACGCTGGGGTCTTTGTTTGTCTGGAACCTACCCTGGAGACCGGCCTGCCATGGGTGACCCTACCAGGAGCGAGCTCCCGACAGTATCGCTCTCCAGGGTCACTGGAACACACAAGCCCCCTCGCCGCATCAAGGCCAGACCCATTCGAGGGGGAATACATTCATAACACTCCTAATATGGACCTATATTTAACTATATCACTTAACTATTCTCATATAGGGGAAGATGCATTCCTTGTTTGGATTTTCCTACTTTTTTTTTATTTTTGTCCTCTCTTATTTTGAATTTCTAAAATCATATTGCATACAAAATGTGAAGGAGACACAAAGAGGACTTACAAAACCAATGTCACCTTGACTTGAAGGTGAGGCCAGTCGTTGTGTAATAAAATCAGTGAATTTTGTTTTATGTTATTGGTGCAGCATCTGGTCTTATCATTTTGGCTGATTTTAGTCATTTTGATTTTTACAATTTAATACAAAACTGACTCAACCTCTGTCCCACCAGTTGAATTTCAAAATTGACCCAGCAATTGTGTGTATGAAGAGTCAATGGTCAGTGTGTGGCACAATTCAATTGAGTTCTTGCCACAACTTCTTGCTCCTACTGCCTTTTTCATCACTACACAAGGCATTAATCATACTTTGGCTGAGTAAGGCCTCTGGTGACACTGCAGGATTAACTCAGTACTGTAGCAAGTCAGTGGGGCCCAAGGCAAACCTAACTACAAATTGTGTTCTGGAAGTGAATTTCTTTCTTTTGGCAGCTCTGCTGTGGTGTTTTTCTCATTTTTATTTTTGTCATATTTTTTGCCTACTTTGTTTGTATTTCTGAACCTCAGTGTGTTTCTTCTACCCTCTGCAAATAGGGAGCTTGTACTGCGTCAGAATGAGCTGTTAGTGTACACCTTACCCAATCTACCTTTTCACCCAAAGTCAGTTGGGAAGGGCTCCAGCACCCCCCGACCCTGAACAGGATAAACGGTATTGAGGGAGAGAGGGCTTGGTTTGACTGTTTCCCTTCAGTTCCTTTGTATTCTGCTCAGTTCAGGGAGGCCCCGTAGACAGTACTACATTTTTTAAAGTGTGCATGCCTTCCTATCCAGAGCTAAACATAACTACTGTAGTACAAATATTAAATGTCACATTTTTTTGAATGTGACAAATGTCTTGTTTTGAATGAGGGTGACTTCACTATTACTCCAATACCTGCCATTGGCAATTATTTTGCTTATTTACAATACCACCATATGTCCAATATTCATTTTTGAATGAGCTATGATTTTGCTGTTATTTACATTTACAGCTGTATTGTATTTGTTCATCTGTGTTTTGGGGAGATGCAGTTGGGACTCTACATCACTGGAGTATTTCAGTGATATTAAGCTTGCATTGACAAGTTATATCCGACTGCACATTTACTCTGCAGAGCCCCCCAATAATTCATGCAAAGGTAATTAACAAACTCAAATCATGAAGCAATGACTTGACTTGAATTCTTGCTGAAGTTCATAGGACTGCGTTGCTCCTTTTTGAACTGGCATTCAAACGTTAGCTGTGATGCATGTGTGAATAGTCTGCTTTGATGACAGAAAAAGAAACTAAATATTTAAAATGCATCACACCACAAAAATGTCCTCGCCCGAATAAATCCAGATACGCTATTGTGACCTCGTCAACAAAAGCATGACAGATGACGCTTGTGATGCTGTTTTAGCCTTTGTTTTTTTTTTAAGAGAACATTTATTTCCTTGTGGTAAATCTCCTCTCAGTACACTTGTATCTAATGAGCGATCATTTTAGGTTGACAGAAATGGCGAAACTAAGAGTCCATCCATCCATTATTTAAACTGTTTATCCTTAGGAGGGTCGTGGGTGTGCTGGAGCCATCTCAGCAATCTTCGGCCAGGAGGCACGGTACACGCTGAACTGGTTGCCAGCCAATGACAGCAAAACTAAAAGCGGTAGTAGTAAATCAGTTTTAAGACTAAAACCCTCAGGAGACAAACAATAATATGGAGCAATGTAATACCCACTGACAAGTCTGTTGAACAAACATTTGAGTTTCCTGTACCATTCAGACATTCAAACAACTTCTTTCCTCTCGCCTTTGACTGCCTAAAAAACAATGACTCAAATCTACAGTGGCTCTTTGCCCTGATCATTGTAGCTCCAGCTCCCTACATACTTGAACAATTGTCATTGATCAATATTCCACAGCACTAGACACTTGAAAGCGCTCAAGGATTTTCTGCATTCTTGCACACCTAAAGTTGGACTACAACTACTGCTACTGCAATGTCACTTTAAAATGGTGCAACGATTATCTGCACCAACTGCATGACCGTCACAGTATTGTCAGGATCGCACCACTTTTCACTTTATCGCTGCTTGATGACTCTGCACATTGTCGCACAGAGGTTCACTTGCTGGTGTGTTTCGGATCATTATCCTGCTGCATGATCCAAGAGTGCTTGAGTTTGAGGGTGCAAACTGATTGTCGGACGTTCTCCTTCAGGATTTTCTGGTACACAGCAGAATTCATTGTCCCATCAATCACAGCAAGTTGTCCTAGTCTGGAGGTAGCAAAGCAGCCACAGATCATCACTTTGCCACCACCAGGCTTGGCATAATATTATTTTTTTTATCAAATGCTGTGCCATTTTTACCCCAGACGTAACTGGCCGTACATCTTCCAAAAAGTTAACATTTTGACTCATCAGTCCACAAAATGTGTTTCCAGGAGTCTTGAGGCTCATCGAATGTCTTTTGGCAAATGTGAGACGAGCCTTTGTGTTCTTTTTGGACTGCAGTGGTTTTCGCCTGAGAACTCTCCCATGGATGGCATTTTTGGCCAGTGCCTTTCTTATGGTAGAGTCGTGAACACTGACCTGAACTCAGGCGAGGTCAGGAGTTCTTTGGATATTGTTCTAAGTTCTTTTGCAACCTCCTGGATGAGTTGTCGTCGCACTCTTCGAGTCATTTTAGCTGGGTGACCTCCTCTGGGAATGTTTGCCACTGTTCCCATTTTTATCCATTTGTGGACAATGGCGCTGAAAGTGGTTTGCTGAAGCTCCAGAGTCTTGGAAATGGCTTTGTAAACTTTTCCATAATGAGAGATTTCAATAACTTTTTCTCTCATTTCTTCTTCAATTTCTTTGGATTGTGGTATGATGACTTTGTTTCTTGAAATCTTGCAGTCTACTTCACTTTGTCTGACAGATTCTATTGATGTAATTGATTCAACAATTGCGGTGCTAGCGTGTTGCCTGTGAAATTGAACTCAGCTTTCCCAAAACCATCATTAGTCACAGTTGCTTTGTGATTTAACGGTGGAGGTTATTTTTATAATTTCCTTCAAGATATATTGGATTGAATTCAACACAAGTGAAACTATGGTCAAATATTTTTGTTTCATCAGCACTGCATTTCTCACAAGCCCTGCCCTATTGATGTTATCATTTTAGCCAGCTGAGCAGGAACATGTCTTTTTTTTTTCACTTCTTTGTTTCCATTTTAAACCTCACGAAGTTGGTGCTTATTCTATCAAAACAAATTAAACCAGATTCTTTTCTTGTTTGTACTGTATGGATGGGAAGAGAACGCCATAACACCCAATAATGGAATGCATTAAGTGTTGTCTGCATATTTATACATGTCACAAATGTTGCCTTTTACGATGCAAGAACATTCACCAATAATTAAAATGTATTTTTAATACTACTAATACTCCGGTATACTGTACAACACGTTGATAATGAGCTCCTATTTGCTTTGTTTTAAACATTTATACAACAATTTTAATGAAGTCAAATATAAAGGTACACATTAAATTGAAAGGGGGAGCTGTAAGTATTCATTTCAATGCTACAAATCCAGATCTGGTTCGAGATAATCACAAACAAAAAGATTAAGGACCTCAACTTAGATGTTACTCAATTCAATGGAAGAATGACTGATTACAGGAGAAGTCCAATTAAATTGTATATAGCAAAAAATACGTAAATTCAAGACATGTTCCAGATCAAGATCCATAATGTGCTCTACACAGTTTCACTAATATGCAGCTCTACATCTTTTTTAAGCATTTAGTTGTAGCTGCAAGTTGTCCGCAAAGGATTGAACCTATACAAACATAACCCTGATGGCTTGTTCACTGAAACCAGTTTTAGTCCATAGTTATCAAACATACTGGACAGACTTGTAAATTTGTTGTCCCATGTTCTCTGGGAGGTCTGGAATTGCGTGTATAAATAGGAGGCAGTTCAGAGCCGGCCTGAGTTTGAAGCATCATGGTTTCCACATCAGTGCTCGTGCTGCAGCTACTCCTGATCTCACTGGTGTCTGCATCACACCACTATGGAGGACTCAGCACCTTCAGCTCTGATATAAACTCTGATGGAACATTTACAGTAAGTGGTTAAATACTGGTATCATTATGTGATCATCAAATATTTGCCATACTCATTTATCATCGTTGTATTGTGTGTGTTTTTTCGTGATTGTCTTTTATCAATCCCACAGACATAGCCTCTATAGCATGGGTGTCAAACTCAAGGCCTGCCACATCATTTTATGTCAACTTCTATGATGCTTGCTAAAATCTGTACCACAATTTCAAATACTCATATGTAATGTATAAGAGATATTGTAAGCATTTTCTTGTCACCAAACTTCTCATTACAGGAACAAATAGTTGAATAAACTGTTAGTCTTGATATACTGTAGTTTCAGTCATAACCACCATCCGAGGGAAACGGTAACTACGATAAATTTGACACTCCTGCTCTATACTATTGGTACCTTCAGAAGTCGTGGGTTTGATCCCCTGCCTCGTCCTTCCTGTGTGGAGTTTGCATATTCTCCCCATATCTGTGTGGGTTTTCTCCAGGTGCTCAGGTTTGCACCCATATTCCAAAAACATGCATGGTGGGTAAATTGAACACTCTATATCAGGGGGGCCCAATCTTTTTTGAGCGAAGATCTACTTTTCGATCAACCAACCTCCCGCGATCAACTCGTTACTGCACACGCGCGCATACGCACGCACTTACACACGCATGCCATACGGAGCAACAGCCATTACGGCCTCTAAGATGAACGAGGCATGGGACGCATTTTTGTAGCGTGTTAACTATCGTAGCTCACGTCTACAGTTTTAAAATGCTTCTCCCGGCACTCCAGATTCCCAATGCCCTCAGTGAATTGTACATGAAACAAACACTGAATGAGGATAATAATAACAATAAAAGATATAGGGCAATGGCTCTGATCGCAAGCTGCAATTGCAGCCTGCTGACCGCTAACAACTTCCGGTGATGCAGGTCACGAGCCAGGTTGAAAGGGACCTGCTTTTTTATTTTATTTTATCTTTTAAATACTTCTTGTGAAAGAGAGACTGATAGGATGCTAAGGGTGCAGTGTGCACTAACACAAAAATATATCATATTAATAACACACACAGACACACAAATAGTTTGGGTTGGGGTTTTTTCCCCGTTTTACACCCCTTGCGATCCACTTGGGACCAGTCCGCGAGCTCTCAGTCGATCGCGATCGATATATTGGGCCCCCCTGCTCCATATTGTCCCTTGGTGGGACTGTGAATATGAATGTTTGTCTGAGATAGGCTCCAGCATGACCCTTGTGAGGATAAGCAAATTAGAAAATAGATAGATGGATGGGTGGATGGATGGATGGATGGATGGATGGATGGATGGATGGATAGATACATAGATAGATAGATAGATAGATAGATAGAATCTTTCAATAGAGTGACAATGACAAACACTTAATAAAAAGATTCAGCATAACACTGCAAGACATTGCCGAGATAGGGACTGCATTGGCTGGCCTATAAATGGCAAAAATCCGCATAAAATGTACGCCCATTGAAATGCATTGGTAAACTGAGGGAAAACAGCGAGAGAAAAACACCACCCTACACACACAAATATTTTTAAATAAATAAATAAATAAATAAATTTTAACTGCGGGAACAAATAAAAAAAAAAATAGAGCAGCAATGAAAAACCGTGGCTGACGTACGGCGAGTATGCAGGGGTCAGCTTATACTCGTAAACTCTGTCGTAAAACAAATTGTGTCACACAAATATGATCCGTTTTCACAGGTCAACATTAGCTTCAAGGACACCTTCGATGGGTGTCACGCCTCTAAAAACATTCATTGTTCCAATGGCAACTGTGGATATGAGGTCAGTCGGCATAGAGTTGTACTTGACAACAGCACCAATTCACCGACAAATACCAGGCAATGGTGTGAAGTAGAGAGAGTGATCACAAGACGTGTTCCATCCAACAAACCTTTCTCTTTGAGGTAAGATTTTTCTTTATTGTGGTCATTTAAAATCTGGAAACTTTGTCTCCAATGAAGAAATTTCAGTACTCGGTCATATTGTATTATGCCCTACATATTCAGTTGAGTGTCAGTATTTAATGAGTTTTATGTCCAAACCTCCCATCTTAGATGGCTGTTGCTGGATTCCAACAAGGAACTTCATCTCTTATTGGATACAACTGACCACTGTGGATTTGGGTACAAGATCTGACACAAGAGAGCCAAACAAATCACCAGCTACTGGCATGCTACCTCTTGTTCGGTAAATATCTAAGGAACAAAATTTCAGTTTCTGTATTTGAGGAAGGAACTGTCGTTAGGGTGCAAAATAAGTGCGATGATTGTGAGAGCCATATAACTGCTCTTGTTAACCAATGAAAAGTTACATGAATACAATTGCACTATAGTTTACATTTCCTGTCAATGTAATATGATGAATTTTTTTCTGCTTTAACCTTACGTGGCAAAATACAATGTACATTCTAGTGTTTGTTACCATGAATATGATTTGCTTATGAAATGTGGGTAATCCATTCTGCAATAATGTTAAATGTGAACAAATGTAAGTGTTAACGGTTCCGGAAGAGAATCAGACTCTACAATCATCAACTCAGGTAAAGGCATCCAAAAATATTTATTTACAGCAAACCAAAAGCGCTTGCAGAAGGCGGGGGAAAAATCCAAACGAAAATAGGTTGCCAACAAAGGACAAGATGACCCAATCGCGAAAATATCTAAACCATTGGTGTCAAACATACGGCCCGCGGGCCGGATCCGGCCCGCAAAGGAGTTTAATCCGGCCCGCGAGATGATTATGTAAAGCATGGTGTCAAACATACGGCCCGCGGGCCGGAACCGGCCCGCAAGGAGGTTCAATTAGGCCCGCAGGATAATTTAAAAGTGAAAAAAATGCATTAAAGACAGAATTAATATTTTTAATAAGGTGCAATTCGTTGAGTATCCGCAAGGGGACACTGTTTTGATCAGAGAAGAAGACAACAGCAGCCTCAGTCCGTCACTGTGACAGACCCATGACAGCAGACGCTATCAATAGCACTCTCACATTTACACATTTAATAGCACTCTCCTTAGTTTGTAAGATTACATTTAGATTTTGTATGCACGTGTAAATGGTTTAAAACTTCCTTTCTTTATGAATCTCATTTAATCTTAAAGTGCATTACTATATTTTTCAATACCAATTACTTGTTAATGTTTGTACAATCAGTGGGATCATTTGCAATGCATATATGTGAATGATAAAAGTAAATTGCACATTTGTCGAAGGAAATGTAAGGTGCTTCATGAAATATTTTGTAAAAGATATGTTCATTAAATTTCAACATTTTCCTAATGTTCTTGTGCTTCTTTATACCAAAACAAAGGAAAGACATTGTTTTGGTTATTTATAGCAAAGTATGGTATCATTTTAATGGTCTGGCCCACTTGACATCTACCGAGGCCGTATGTGGCCCACCATGTGAAATGAGTTTGACACCCCTGATCTAAACCGAGAGTAATAATGAACGCAGGCAAACTATTTCCGGAAAACGCAGAACAAGAATACGGAGCAATACTGTATCGAGAACCTGCAGTTATCCGACTACCAGTTGTCGTCCCGGATGTCTGTGTTCAAATGAGGAGAGGTGCGCAGCAGGAAAGACTGGAAGACCACTGCCACCTGCTGGCGAATAATCAGAACTGAATCATGACAACAAGACATGAAAGGAAAATGTCTAATTTTTGTTTTCTCAAGAGTTCCTCAAAACTGCCCGCGGGCATACAAGATCATGGCCTTTGATGCTGATGGTGACCGAGTACGATGCAGATATGGAAAAATTTCGAATAAAGAATGCAGCAGGTGCCGTCAACCTGTCGGCTTTTATCTGAATCAGGTATGTTGAAAGTCTGACGACGGCATGGAATAAAAATTTCCTTGTTGACTTTCATTAATAACTTGTTTTCAAAATTCGCCAGGACTCTTGCACTTTGCACTACGATTACACCTTATCTGATCCCAGAGTTTTTGGATTTGAATTGGTAGTGGAGGACTTTCCACAACAGCCCATCACACTATCCTATAGTGATGGCTCCCATTGCTCCAGGTCTCCGCTGATGGCCAGGAAAAAGAGGTACCCAGTCAGTCCACCCAACAGTCGGCCGTATAAAACCACAACAGAACACTCATGGTCACGCTGGTCCACAACAACGCCAGAGCCATGGGGGCAAAGGCATACTACTAGAGGTGAACCTCCTACAGACTCTTTGATTACATCAGCACCACCCACTGTGCCATGGTGGAAACATTATATGACGCCTAGTCAAGGGATGCCTTCTACGGGCTCATGGACGACATCAGCACCACCCACCCAGGTACCGTGGAAAACTACAACAGCACCCCCGTGGTGGTGGTGGACTCAGCGGACTACAGGACGTGCAGCAACACCATCTCGCACTGCAGTGCAAAGACAAACCGTAACCAATCCTTGGTGGTGGTTGTTCACTGAAAGTACTGCATCAACAACAACCTTGCGGTCTTGGCATCCTACCATAACATCTTGGACACCCACTACAAGACACCCATATGCCCCAACTCCAGCTCTTAGCAAGCTACCCTTGCAGTTCTCATTACTGGGTAAGCATGGTCTTATTGTGCTAAAAAAATATATGACCATGGTATATGAATCATGTGACTACACAGAGATAAGTGTTTTTGATCATTTGATTGTATTGTAGCTATGGCAGTGAACAATATGCCTAGTCTGTAGGAAATATGTAATATACTATGCTACACCACAGCACATTGACCAGAATATCAGATACTTAGCCTTAGAACATTTAAATGAATCTCTTATTGGCTTTCAGTGGACCCTCCTGTTCCTTCCTGTCAAGAGGGACTTTACATACCGAGGCTCGTATATCCAACTCCCCAGAATGGACAGCATATTTATGTAGAGGTCAATAAAGAAGTGGAGATCAGAGTCAAAGCGCAAGCTGTGCGTGCAGAGTAAGTGAAAAGCAACTGTCATGCTTGGGGTTATGTCGTGGTGGAAAAAAGCAAAAAAAGCAGGTGGACCCAAGTGTAGGGAAGGAGGCGAGGCCAAACAGAAATGCAAAAAATCCAAAAAAAAAAAAAGAACGAGGAAAAGGAAGATAGTCAGGCAGGAGAAGAACGAATACTATGAACAAAGTCCAAAAATTGAGACAGAATGTGAACAAAGAAATGCGAGAAACAAACTCAGATCTGTGAACCTAATATAGTTACAACATTGTATTCATAAGCAGCAAACAAATGAACTGCAGTAGAGGTGTGTTTCTGTATTCAGCATATACTGTGCTTCTAAATGGAGAAACCTTTTTAGTTTAGCTTTTTTTTTTAATGATCCAGGATACATGACATCATTATGAGTGGGCCAGCGAATGCCAACAAGCATAGAACCACGCATGATGAGTTTGTCATAAGGTGGATACCCAGGCCTGGCGATGAGGGTAAACATCGTCCACTCTGCTTCTCTGTTGAATCAGTCATACGAAGGTCAGTCATTGTTTGAAACTTTTGTGTTTGCAATAATTTGTAAAAGCAATTCTTAAGCGCTTTATATATTCGGTAAGGCTTTTTTAACCACACCAACATCCTCATATTATTCTCATCTCATCACAAACACGATCCTGGGTAAGGATTTACATGTCTTAGCAAATACTATTTATCGAGGCTTTATCGATGCATTAAAAGGAAATGACTCTTTCTCAACATTGTGTTGATTCTTTTTGTATTTATTTATTTTATTCATCGTAATAATGGGTTCATCAATTCTGTGTAGGCATGCTCTATCAGTCTATCAATCTGAAATGAGATGTGTTCTGCTTGAAGTTCAGAAGGCGAAAGGTGAGTCACGAGTTAGTACCCGGTAGTTAGTTTTCAAAGTCATTTATTGATGGAACAAAAAACATGCATGCAGTTGTCAGCTCAAAGTGGAGAAAAGTTGGTTGAAAACTAATCTGTCCTTTTCAGTTAAAGCTACGGTGACCTGCGCTGAGTCCAATATGACGGTGGTAGTTGAGAGAGCATCACTCCACTGGATCGATTTGGATCACCTACGTCTCTGTGATCCCTACAACGTAGAGTGCAGTCTTCAAAGACACTCCAACAGCACACATGTAGTTGCTGTCATCCCCCTTAACTCTTGTGGCACACAGCTGGAGGTACTCTAACTGCATTTCATTTCATCTTATCTTCCTCGGGTGAATCTTGGCTTTGATTTAAGAACTGAATCAGTTGCATTTTGCTCTGCAGGAGGATGATGATAATCTCATTTTCAAGAATGAAATAATCACTGTGGACAACCCTAGACTCATCGTTACCAGGACACACAGGCTGGAAGTTGGCTTCCACTGCCAGTATCCCAAACGAGGAAATGTAACCCAGAGTTTCATTGCACACAGAGAGTCTATCACAGTTTGGGAAAAGGGCTTTGGCACGTTCACCTACCAGTTTGAGTTCTACCCAGATGCCCAATTCCGAACCATATTTAGTCCAACCTTATACCCTCTGGACTATAAACTAGGAAACAGGATTTACATGAAGATAGAGGCCTCCTCTTTGATCAACAACACTGAACTTTTTGTGGAATCATGCCGAGCTGCTCCATATGACAACCCCAACTCCCAGCCAACCTACTCAATCATTGAAAATGGGTAAGCTTCCAACTCTTTTGGAGTGTGGGTTGCTGCCGCAATCCAGGCTTTATTTGTTGTATTGACAATGGTACTTGAACATTCCTGAACTGGATTATCTGAAGTGTCGGTAGAAATAAATCATTGAATTTGTGATCTACTGTCCAGTGTAATGCATGCTGCTTCCAAGCCAATGCATTGTCCTTTTATGTGCTCTGATTAGATGTCCAATAGATCCAACAGTGCAGATCTACACCCCAGCTCATGAACATGAATTCAGGTTCAGCATCGAGGCCTTCCAGTTCATTGGATTGCATGATCACGTGAGCATCTCTCAGTATTGCTTTCTGCAGGGGGGGAAAACATGAAGTCTTTCCACTAACAAATTCCTCCATCCATCAACTTTCAATCTGACTCAACCTGTTAAACTTGGTTTCAGACAAGCACAGGCGCCACAGGCAGACACAATGAACTCAGTCCTGGTTTATTGGCAGGGCAGAGGGTCAGGTCAAGGAGGCAGGAACCAAAGGCAGTAAGAGAAACCAAACCAAGATGTAGTGGAGGGCTTGGGCACGAAGGCTGGGCAGCAGAGAGTATGGCAGGCAAGGTAGCCGACAAACTAGCAACGGGTGGATCTTCAGACTGGCCTTTGTGCTGCAGAGGAGAGGTGAAGACTGGCAGGTGTGTAGGCGAGACAGGTGCCGTGATTGGGGAGACGCCCAACCCACACTGAATTCAGGGAAAGGCAACCAAAAACAGAAGAGAGGGAACAGAGGGAGGGGCCACACAGTGGAACACTGAGGACAGACACACTGGATTCTAACACAACCTCTTCAGGATGCTGCAGCCTGTCCTATCTGACTTCGAGCGGAAGGCCGACTCCACCCTGGACTGGTTGCCACTCAGTCAAAGGGCACATACAGAGATGAACAACCATTTCGACTCGCATTCACTCCACCAACTGAACCCACACTGCCTGCACGACACCATCACTGACGTGCAACAAATTCACAACTTACTTATAAATGCTTAGAAATGTATGTTCAAGTGCAAGATGCCACTGTCACAGGTGCTTGCTGTACTAGATGACATACATGTTTGCATGTCACTAAGATATTGATTTCGGGGAAAAAAATGTGCGTATTAAGTGATGGGTCTCTCTTGTCAATAGTTAATCCACAACTCATTTGTTAATTTATTCAGGTGTACATCAGCTGTTCAGTCTTGACGTGTGAGGCAGGGAACCCCCACACCAGGTGCTCACATGGATGTATCCAGACCACATGGACAGATGATTACCACCACCATGTAAAGAGAGAGGCTGTCATCCAGAGTGCCAAGCATTTGGTTTCGCAAGGACCACTGCGCCTGAAGAGATCAGCAGAGAGTGATGGACGCACAGGTAAGATCATATGAAATCTGACTTTGTTTTCCCTAATTTGTTGCTCTGATTAAAAATCTCTTTTTCTCTCTAGTGATGAATTTGAATATGAACCTCATATTCATCACTGGATGTCTTCTTGCAGTTGTTGGCATGATCAGTGCTACCGTCATGTACAAAGCCAAAATGTCAAGCGTTAAATATGAACGTTTGCTGACATTTGAAAGCTAAACACTTGCAGGTAGTAGATGCAGATTTTTTTCTACATTATTCAGATACAACATTTTATTTTGGGCTTGGTGGAAATCAAATGTATTTGGATGAGCAAAATAATGGTTGGGGGTGCATTTCAAGAATTGAAATGGACAAAATGTTGTACATACAAAATGATCATCACCTTTAAAATATATTGATGCATATTTGTTAGTGTTTCGAAAATAAGATTCTGTAGTTTATAGTGTCGTTCCAATCGATCGGCCACCAATCATGGTCGGACGATTTCCGTGGATAAGTATGTGATCAGTATATGTCGATCAATTACTTTCTTTGCCAAAAACAATCAAAAGTCTCCTTCAGGATGTCTCATCCTCTGTAAATGTTCTTCTCTTTATTACAAAGAATACCCTTTGACACCTCTACACAGTAAATACTCTCAGCCTTCTGGTGTCCTCCATGTATCATAGTGATTGATTGTCTGTGTTTATTCCAAATAAATCTTTTGTCAACGTCTGCTTTTACTTGGAAAAACATGTACTTTCCCCTATTTTCTGACATGTTACAGATCAAATCAGTAACTGAATCATCACACTGGTCAACATCATATTTCAATTAGAGAATGTACAATTAATTTAAAATTATGTTTTTACTTTTTTCTAGCACATCAGATTTTTTAGATATTTTTATTTTTGGTTTTTAATTTTACCTAAAACATCCACAATAAAGATTTTACCATACATTTTTATTTATAGCAACAGTATGACGTTTCAGAAGAAAAATTCCACTTGTTAGTGAACGTAACCCTTAATTAATAATAATAATAATAACAATAATGATACATATTATTGTTATTATTATTATTATTATTATGAAAACCCAATGTGCTAGAGAAAAAACAAGCTGCTGATTCAGAATCAGTACAAAAAATATCTTCTTGTAAGGTTTACTTATCTCAGACGGAAAAAAAATTAGTTGACCAGATAATACTGGATATATTTTTGCATTTTTTGCACTATTAATGTGAAATAATGTCCTGTTTTTGTACAGTAAAGGATGGAAATTTGGACAGAATGATTTTTAAAAAATCTGATTCATGTACTAATCAAAAAATAATTGACAGTTTAATTCATCCATCCATCCATTCATTTTCTGATCCGATTATCTTCACAAGGGTCATGGGGCGTGATAGAAACTATCGCAGCTGTCTTCGGGCAGTAGGTGGGGGAATGCCTTGAACCGGTCGCCACATAGACGAACAACCACGCATTTGCGCTCACACTCACACCTAGGGACAATTTAGAGTGTTCCAATAACCTGCCATGCATGTTTTTGGAATGTGGGAGGAAACCGGAGTACCCAGAGAAAACCCACACAGGCACGGGGAGAACATGCAAACTCCACACAGGAAGGTCAGAGCCAGCCGGAATCGAACCCTGCACCTCTGCACTGTGAGGTCGACGCGCTAACCAATCGGTCACCGGGCCGCCCACAATTTAATTGATTATTAAAATAATTGTTAGTTAGCGAATCCAAAACTGAAAGATGTGTAGCCAATCCAAGTGATCTGTATTGGAATTGGCATCGGCCGAGCTCACTCGTGAATGATTGTATCGAAATACGCAACATTAAACCTTGATCATAACACCCCTAGTACTATACAATCCTAATGACAGTGAATTATGCCACAACAACCAGAATTGCATGCATCTTTAGTAAGAATTGTGCTTACTGAGGATAACTTGTCTGTTTTTGTTTAATCAAGCAATTCACACAAAAAAAGACACTCAACCAGCACTGCAGATGTTTTAGTTTGTGATGTCAAAAATGAGAACATAAAATCTGTGATATGATCGTACCACAAAGGGAAGGTAAGCCAAGGGGAAAAGCGTGTAATAGACAAGAATGACGAGAATCTATCAAAACATTTTGTATTTAATGAGAGTTCATTGATACCGCTCCCTGATAATAATAATAAAAAAAATACAATATCATACAGTCAGGCTGATCGACCCCTCTAAATTGTCCCTCGGTGTGAGTGTGGGCGTGGATGGTTGTTCGTCTCTGTGTGCCCTGCGATTGGCTGGCAACCAATTCGGGGTGCCCCCCGCCTACTGCCCGAAGACAACTGGGATAGGCTCCAGCACCTCCCGCGACCCTAGTGAAGATAAAGCGGTTCGGAAAATGAATGAATGAATGAATATCATACAGTATCGAGAATGTTCATTTTTGCTCAAATATGTATGAGCTATGGCCATAAAGAAACAAGACTTAACAGCCACGTTCAAGACTTCAATGGCCAACTAGTTATGTTAATGTTGCACAAGATGCTGACATTATTCTACTTCTATGTATCTTTGTTTGCTTATTTCACTGCTTCTTTTTCAGGCATTTGCGTTGCACACAGCGGTCACACTTTATTGGACGCACTTTGCTTCTCATGCAGTCAGAGGAGCGAAATAATAATTTTGAAATTCCTGATCATGTTGGGGAAGGACCCAACCAAGCGCCTCAAACTGCACAGTCAATATGCGATCACTCTGCAGCAGCTTGTATCCCTTGTCAACATCCTCAGACATCTTACAGAAAGGCGTGATTTTTTCGAGCAATCCACCAGCTTCTTGCGTCACTCAAGTATATAAGTTTCATTGACAGGTTTGAGACACTTGGTGGAACCATGGCCACACAGTAGAATCGTGGTCAACCTGTTTATCTCACAGTTGAGAGCTTTTGGGTTCAAATCTTGTCTTCGGGCTTCCTGTGTACAGAGCTGATTTATACCTCCATTGAATCCTTAGCAAATGTGATTTTTGGGACGTCTATTTCTGCGAATAAAATGAATTATTGATTATGTACACACCTATTATATAATGAGGATGACGTAACTGTACCTGAAACAAGGTTGGATGCAAAAAATATATAAAAAAAGAAGTTCAGTAACGAGGTCTTAAATATAAATATGTCCCAAAGCTTCAGTTAAAACAATAAAAATACATTACCACAACCGTTTAACTTTACTGCAGTTACTCTATTCTTACTCAAGGTGGCACAATGGGCACCTGGTTAGCACAGCCCATTTCCAAGGCAGAGGTGGTGGGTTCAAATCCAGGCTCTGGCCTAAGTGTATGAAATTTGCATGTTCTTCTGGTACCGGGTACTCTGATTTCCTCCCACATTCCAAAACCTGCATGGTAGGTTCATTAAAGACTCTAAACTGGCTGTGAGTGCGAATTGTTGTTTGCCTATGAATCGGGGCATCCGGAGAAAACCCACGCAGGCACAGGGAGAACATGCAAACTGCACACAGGAAGGCCTGAGCCCAGATTCAAACCCTGGACCTCTGCACTGTGAGGCCGATGTGCTAACCAGTTGACCACCACGTGGCCTTTATATACACTCAATAAATTGCTAATTGTTATGAGCCCAAACAGTGATTTATGCTGTCTGTAAAGTGACATTTTACATATACAGTATTTCCCCTGCAACTGACTGGTGACCAGTCAAGGGTGTAGTCGGCCCTCCGCCCGAAGCCAGCTGGGAGAGTCTCCAATACCCGCTGTGACCCTGTAGGATAAGTGGTGTTGAAAATGTATGGATGGGTGAATGGTCTGCATTTCTTCTTGTAATGTAAAATGCATTACGGAATGGGATTTGTAATTGTATTAATGTCAGTACTGTACACGTGTACATCCCAGCTGTCTTCGGGCAGTAGGCCAAATGCAGGGCACACACAGACGATCAAACCCCGCTCACACTCACACCTTGGGGCAATTCAGCGTGTTCAACCAGCCTGCCATGCATGCTTTTGGAATGTGGGAGGAAACTGGAGTACCCGGAGAAAACCCACGCACGCAGGCCCGGGGACTGATGTTGCGGTGAGAACATGCAAACTCCACACAGGGAGGCCGGAGCTGGGATTGAACCCGGTACCTCTGCACTGTGAGGTCGACGCGCTAACCACTGGACACAGGGCCACCGCTTTCCAGAACATATAACATTAAGTAATAATACAACAAAACACAGAACATAAATATGGGTAATAATGAAACCGTAGCAACTATTCCTACACTAGAGAACAAGTACACTACAAATAAACTTTAGTTCAAAATCCGTGCTATCTGTTATCAGCGGTATATGAGTAGCAAAATAAACGCGTTGCGAATTTTAAGATAAAAACATGTTGCCCACTCACTCACTGCTTAAGTACGGACTTGAAACAAATCACACTGGCACCATCTCCATGGATGGATGTCTGTAAACTTGGTCTTGGAATAAAATAATAATAATTCCCGATAAAACTGACAGGGAAACGTTGGAATAAATCATCTGTAATAAAGTACACTGTTAATATTAAATCATTATATCAATAGATTTCAAAAGATAAAACGCGAACCTCATTTATCATAAAATAACGTGGTGAATGAATAATTTTGGACGTAAAATTGAATTGTTCATACATGCTCTAAAGCAGGGGCCCCCAACCTTTTTTGCCCCACGGACCGGTTTATGTCAGACAATATTTTCAAGGACCGGCATTTAAGGTGTGGTGGAAATAATACAAGAAATTAAAATGGTATGAGCTGCATGAAAACTGTGGCGTTTTCGAAATAAAATAATAAACACAAGGAGCGTCTAATCTGGCCGCATCACTCCGATCGCTATGGCAATGTTTAATGCCTTCAAAAAACGATACAACGCAAATTCAAAGTGCATGAAAATGACGACTCACCACGGCACCGAGCTTAATTTTCTGCAACCAGACGGTCCCATCTCGGGGTAAAAGGAGACAATGACACCTCAAGTGTGTGGTTTATGTCCAGTCTACTTCGTAATTTTGTTTTCGTCGCCGTTGCTGCAGAAACC